GAATGAAAGCAGCACATATAGAGCTGCGAGATGCTCCTGAATGCTCAGATGAACAAAGCAGAAGACTTTCCCCTGATACAAGCCCAACTCTTCTCTGAAGATCTGAGTGCACAATCCTGAGTAAACTGATGCTTCTGTCACATCAATGCCACACTCTCTCAGGTCTTTCTCATAGAAGATGAGGTTACCTTTCACAAGCTGCTGGAAAGCCAGTTTCCCCAGTTTGAGGATCATGTCTTCATCCTTCACTTTCTTCTCATAGTCCTTCTCATGTTTGATGCTGGTCTGAATAATCAGGAAGTGTGTGTACATTTCAGTGAGAGTCTTGGGAATATCTCCTTTCCATGATTTCCTCATCATCTTCTCCAGAACAGTGGCTGAGATCCAGCAGAAGACTGGGATGTGGCACATGATGAAGAGGCTCCTTGATGACTTCAGGTGTGAGATGATCCTGTTGGCCAGACTCTGATCACTGATTCTCTTCCTGAAGTATTCCTCCTTCTGTGGATCATTGAAGCCTCGTACCTCTGTCACTCGATGGACACACTCAGAGGGAATGAGATCAGCTGCTGCTGGTCTGGAGGTGATCCAGATGAGAGCAGAGGGAAGCAGATTCCCCACAATCAGGTTCATCAGCAGCACATCCACTGAGGCTGAGGATCACTGATTCTCTTCCAGAAGTATTCCTCCTTCTGTGGATCATTGAAGCCTCGTACCTCTGTCACTCGATGGACACACTCAGAGGGAATGAGATCAGCTGCTGCTGGTCTGGAGGTGATCCAGATGAGAGCAGAGGGAAGCAGATTCCCCACAATCAGGTTCATCAGCAGCACATCCACTGAGGCTGATTCAATTACATCACACAACATCACACTGCTCTGAAAATCCAGAGACAGACGACACTCATCCAGACCATCAAAAACAAAGACAACTTTATTTTCAGCACTGAATGGTTTCATTTCTTTGGTTTCAGGAAAGAAAATATGCAATAGATCCAAAAGACTGAGTGTTTTGTCCTTCATCAGATTGAGCTCTCTGAAAGGAAGTGGAAATATGAGCTGGACGTCCTGATTCTCTTTCCCTTCAGCCCAGTCCAGGATGAACTTCTGCACAGAGACTGTTTTTCCAATGCCAGCGACTCCCTTTGTCAGCACAGTTCTGATGGGTTTGTCTTGTCCAGTTAAAGGTCTGAAGATGTCACTGCATTTGATCGGTGTGTCCTCTGTTGCTGCTCTCCTGGACTGTGTCTCAATCCATCTCACCTCATGCTCATTATTGATCTCTCCACTCTCACTCTCTGTGATGTAGAGCTCTGTGTAGATCTCATTCAGCAGTGTTGGGTTTCCCTGCTTTGCCGTTCCCTCATACAGACACTCAAACTTCTTCCTCAGATTTGATATATATGTCTTGAGGGCTTCAGCAGGGTCATGGCTTAAGATTAAAATAAAATAATTATTAGAATGTGTTGTATATTCATATTTCATAATATATGCATACTTCATATAGTATATATATGATGACAACATTTTTGTTTAAAGAGATCTTCATTTAGTTTAGGACATATGGGTCAAATTCTGCTCCTGGAGGGCCAGTGTCCTGCATAGTGTAGCTCCAACCAGCTCTAAAACACCTGCCTGGTTTAGGACAGCGGTTCCCAATTCCAGTCCTCGCACCCCCCTGCTCAGCATATTTCGTATGTATCTCTTATAGGGCTGCACGATAAATCGCATGCCATTATCATGCGCATCTCGTCAGTAAAGCCGGTTCTGTGATTAGTAGTAAATCTCCATCACGTGCTTTCAGATGGAGCGGCATTTAATACACAGAACCGTAGATCACTGACAAGCTGAACACAATATCGCATTCATAATCGCAGATGAATCGCCTTCGATTATGAACGTGATATTGCGTTCAGCTTGTAGGTGATCTACGGCTCTGTGTATTAAATGCCGCTCCATCTGAAAGCACGTAATGGAGATTTACTACTAATCACAGAACCGGCTTTACTGACGAGATGCGATTGACAATCGCATGCGATTTATCGTGCAGCCGTAAATTCTCTTATCACATATGATGTTTGTTCTATTCGAACGTAAGTGCCCTGCGAAGTGGACATCACCGGATATTCAACCATGATTCCAATTCGAAACGAGTGTATATGTTCCATACAAAGGCCATTAAAGTGTGCGAGACGTGAATTTAAATTGTATTTATTTACAGAGGTATATGATGTCACACTCGTCTGTGTGTGTGAAGACAGGCAAATCCGTGAATGAATGTTCCGAGGTGAAGTAAACTCCCTCCCCTGCTCAGAGAGTAGGAAGCAATGAATACGGTGTAGGGACCATGTCAGTCGGAACACAGTTCATGCACGTAGCTCTCTTCTAACGAGCTGGTTATCTGAATCAGGTGTGTTAACAAAGAGAGACATGCAAAATATGTGGGGTGTGGGGGGACACGAGAACTTGAAATGGGAGCCGCTGATTTAGGAAGTTTAGGCTGTTAGTAGGTTGATGTGGTATAAAGATGTGATTATATATTACGATATTGTTATAATATCAGCATATATCTTTACCATTCACATTTAAGGTTTAACATAATTTTAGAGAGCAGCTGAGATTGTACGTTTGGTAGCAAATAAGTGCAACAAAAACTAGGCAAAATACTAACCCAGGCTCATTGGAAATACGTGCTTGTGGTGACATTTCTGCAACACTTATTATATCACTTATTATATATATATATATATATATATATATATATCTTACTGCACGTTTCTCTGCAGTTTTAAAGTGAAATCTCCAGTGAGTGGTGCTAAAATGAGTGTTCAGTATGTGACCGTGGCCTGGTTTTTATCACGTTGGTATAGACACGTATTGCTGCATTTTTATTATGTTGCTTCAGGAGGGGGACATTGGGGGGCAGTGCCTAAAGCATTTACCTGAACCCAAGATCAGACTGACCCAAAATGTGTCCACTAAAATTACGCAGAGCATCCACTGACTGGTCACTCTTCTTGGACATACAGCTGGATTCTGGCAGGTTTGGTCTGTGCATTGAAGTTAAACAACAAATTAATGTAATTCACATACTCTTATATTAATCACTTTTGTAATGACTGATTGCTCTAGGAAACTAAAATATTTAATTAATATGTTTTATTCCGTTGGAGACAAAGTGCAAGTGTTATAGCACACATATTGGAGCTGTTAATTAAGACCTTCATTCTGAAATGCACTGCATATAGGCATTGAAAACCCATTACAGCATTCAATTTGAACAAACAGATGTAACAGGACAAACAGTTTAATACAGTGTTTACCTAAACCCAAGATCATTGTGTCCACTAAGCATAGGTGGATGATCCATTGACCAGTCACTCCTCATGGACACACAGCTGGGTTCTGGTCTGTGCATTGAAGATGAACAATGTTATCCACACACATTTATTGTTACAGCTATGTTTGATCATTTTTGTTCTGAGACTTTCATTTTGAAGTTTTTCAATTTCTGGTGTATCTTAGTTCCCGTTTGCTGTGTTTATTTCTTGTTTCCATGGGTTCTAGTGTGTTCTCACTTATTTCCGTAGGTACTGATTTGGTTCTTCACCGGTGTCTTGTTTAATTGAATGTCACTCTGTGTATTTATACTCCTCAGTTTAATCAGATCATTGTTGTTTATTGTCTTTGTGTAAATGCAAAGCCATTTATGTTGCATTTGTGTGCTCCCTTGCCTGTTGGGTTATCTCGTTTATTAAAATAAATACTGCAAAGATCCCTGTCTCTACTCACCCTTCATCTTCCCTGCACAGCACCATTTTTCTAATTAACTTGTTCAGGTGACTGAATTATTCCATTAATATGTGATCTATTGTTGAATACATGATAGTAAGTACAGCTGTTATAGACAGTGTTGTGCAAGTTACTTCCAAACTGTAATACATTATATATTACTTGTTACTGTTATTAAAAGGTAATTCCTTACCTCACAATATTACGGTCTCAGAACTGTAATGCGTTACATGACTCCTGTATCACTTTTGAGTTACTTTCACCAAAATAACTACAGAAGTAGAATTTAACATTCTAAAATGACTAAATGTACTGCAGAGCATTTTACATCCACTAGAGGGCGATATGGTTTAGAATAATGACTGTGGGCTATCCAGTCTACTAACAATATAGCTTATAATTGGCAAAGTGAAGGCTCAAGACAATGCAAGAAAGGATGACAGCCAGAATCACAAACGATCCAAGTCTGTTAAAAGTATGGTAGAGGTAAAGTGATTATCTGGCAATATCTGTGAATAGCCTGGGTCTATTCATATTAGACACAACAGGACTATATGTAAACTCTAATGCCATGACAAGATGCGCATACATCCATCTCGCACATGTACAGTCTTCTGCCATCTTCACCCATTAGCTGCTTTTCCACTGGCCAGTGCGAGTCGGGCTGGGCTAATAGCCTCGGACCTCGAGCACTCGTTTCCACTGTCGGGCCAGTAGCCTCGCGGCACTCCTGTAAAACCCGCCCTAAACACGCCTTCACTGGACTACGTCACACAATACAAAGTTCCATCAGCGAGAGGGAGATGAATTAAATAAATCGCTAAACAAATATATATCAGAAGCTGTCTTTAGTCTTTATTTACAAACTTGGACACCACACGTGGCTATTGACTGACCACGAACAGAATAGAACTTATTTGCAGCATTTTTGATTTGTTAATGTCTCGCGGTCTTGCTAGTTTTACTGAACATGTACCGAGTAAAATATTACTGAAAATTGATTAGTAATGCCTTGCACTACTGCGTTACAGCAATAAGTAATCCGTTACTGTAATGCATTACTTTTGTAACGTGTTACTCCCAACACTGGTTATAGAGTACACAACCACATATCAAAGTTATTAATTATGGTATTTTAATTAAAGGCACAATATGTAATTTTCACCACTAGAGGGCGCGTATTCAAAATAAACAAAGACAAAGGCTAGTTTGATGACGCTGTGACTGAGTGTGGAATCATGGGTATGGACACGGTCCGTGTCACTAGTTAAAATTGCTTATTTCCCTGGATTTAAACATTCTTCAAAAGATTTGGGATAATGTAAGTACACAAGTCAGCAAAATATATAACACTGTTCTAGTGGTTTTTGGATATTTTAATAAAAAAAATCTTATATATTGTGCCTTTAATATCTTCTAATACATTGAATAAAGGCACAGAAAAATTATTTAATTTCAACACAGAAGATTAAAGGGGTCATATGATGCGATTTCAAGTTTTCCTTTCTCTTTGGAGTGTTACAAGCTGATTGTGCATAG